GCAGCCTTCCTGTTAACCATGCGGTGCCATGGCAGTTGGGGGGGCCCCTTTATGATTTCTTGCACCGGGGCCCTGAAGGTTCTAGTTACGCCTCTGACAGTATACATACATAGGTTTACTTAGTGCTCCAGCTAGTGAGAAGGATAACTAAACCCAAGAACAAAAATGGAATATATTGCAGATAAACAGTCCTTTGATATGGTTGATGCATCAGTTTTCATTTTTTCAGGCTTACTAGGTAAAAATAAAGTTAAAAAAAATAAAAAACTACCCCCCTAGCCCACTTCACTACTCCTTACCTGGCTAACCTTCTCACTTTTCTTAACGTGTGTGTTTCTCACAAATTGTTTTCTCTGTAGATTTGTCTAAACAGTATGTTAAATCTTTGTGCATGCACTGAACAACTTTCAAACTAGAAAAATCAATTTTGTAATGTTTGATCAACTTTCTAATTGTTGATGTGGTCAAATCGATGATCAAATTTCAACCACAGTGATGAAAACATTCAAAGGAGCATGTTAGAATTAGGTTTGATCGATAAAATTTTTCCATCAGTGAATGTGTTTTTTTTTTTAAACTCCACTCATTCCAAAATCAAAGGATAAATCAAAACAAATTTCAAAGGAAATTTCGAACGACATTCACCAGAACACGTGGCACATTGATGCCTGCGTTGCAGTTCAGTGTGATCTGAAAAAATAGTGCATGCAGCATTTTTTAAGATCGCACTGGACCAGAACGCAGGCATTGATGTGCCCCATGTCCTGTATGGGACTGTGGATGGGGGGAGGCATGGCTGTGGTGCCATTGAATTCAATGTACCACCATGCCCCCTCCCACCCCTTAATCCAGGAAACTGCCCGGCTGCGATACAGTGCGTTCCAGCAGCTAACCCCTCTGGAACGCACTATATATGGTGTGAACAAGCCCTGACACAGGAAGTGTGTTACTGGTTGGATCACCAGGTGAAAATAAAGTAAACACATAAAACACACAATAAGCATTATTCCGTAAAATATGGAATTGTAGTGCAGTATACCTCTTTTGCAGGTATCAATTCTGTATTCTATGTGTTGGAATTTTTGTTGTATTAAACAAAGCATTTTAAAGTGTTGTTAACTGAAACTTTCATTTTTCTTTAGTTAGTAGGTTAGTAGGAATAGGAAATGTTTTTTTTTTGTGCTGTTTGTGTCCCTTTGGGAAGATTTCACTTCAAATTCTGTCTCAGAGACACAACAGAAAGTGAGAGGAAATCTTCCCCTCTTAGGGGTTGTTCACACCATGTCCGTTGAACTGCATTTTTCCTGAAGACAATCATTTTCTATGTAATCTATCTGTAAATCCCAAAGAGCTGCAATCTGATGCAAAAGCTCCAATACAATCAACTTTATTGATTCCAACAAGAAACTGCTCAGTCCCTCTCAAGGTCTTCTCTGATCTAACATGTTTCATCACAAGCTTAATCATAGAGGTCTTTTCTATGTACCTTATTCACACCATACATATACAGTGGTTTTCAGAAAAACACAGCCCAACGGACATGGACTAAACAAGCCCTTAGACCAGGGGTGGGTAACTCCGACCCTTCAGCTGTTGAGGAACTACAAGTCCCATGATCCATTGCAAGACTGTCAGTTACAGGCATGACTCCCAAAGGCAGAGGCATCTTGGGATTTGTAGTTAAAGCACAACTGGGGGCTGGAGTTTCCTACTCCTGGCTTGGAAGAGGTGCTCCCACTGGAAGATTTCCCCTCATATTGTGTTTTGTTGACAACTATAAAATTTGGAATTACCCAAAACTTTCTAGGTTCTAACTAAGGGATGAGCTCAGGTTTAGACAGAAGCAGTGATGCTTCTGAGCTGAGCTCCCCCTGCACATGGAAGGAAGCTCCTTCCGTGCTGCCGAATCATCTTGACGTAAGCGAAGGGGTTGAATGCAGCAATAAATGACATGGCTTTAGGCGTCAGAAGTCTGTTTAGAGGGGCCCACTGCCAGCCATGTACGACATACGTTGTTGGCAGCGAAAGGGTTAATACAGGGGTGTGCAAATTGGCCCTCCAGCTGTTGTAAATATGCAATTTTCATGAAGCATTGCAAGAGACAGATGCATGATGGGATTTGTATTTTCGCCACAGCTGGAGGGCCGGAGTTTGCTCACCCCTGTTTGAATACAATAAAATACTCTACATCATACATCAGTATTCAGAAAAGTTCATTTTACACATCTCTTGATACTCAGGTATAGTCACCCTTTTATGAACTGTGGTAATGGAGCCAATCCATTTTAATCTTTAGAAAGCAGCTAACTACTCAATATTTGAGATACCGCAGGAAGGGTTAATAAGGATGGCTACACTTGAGAAATGTCCTCTTTGTTGTGGCCAATAACCTGTTCCCAGACAGGACAGTTGTGGGACTATGAGGGTTAATAGGGAGTGTTTGTAGCAAGCTTTTTGTCACCAAGGAGAAATGTGTAAGCTATTGGTAAGGAAACAAAACACTAAGCAGTTCTTTCAGAATAGGCATTTCCCCTCTGCTTGTTACAGGGGGAAGGCTTCTAGATTGTCTCTGTCTTTCACTGTGATGATGATCATCATGTCTAACAAAAGATGACATGGGACCTCGGATAGACAAGACACCGGGAGGTGGTCTCTCCAAAGAGACGTCAGGTTTGTACTCTGAAAGAAGAGGATTGCTTAATTTAACAAAGTGCACACACAAAGTAACATACGGCATTCTACACCCACTTTTTGAAATCACTTTGATGACTTTTAATGAGTTTGAAAAAGTTGCAACTTGTTTGATATCTATTTATATATTTGTCTGTTATTATCGGATGTTGATGTCAGGAAAGACTTTTCTTCTACAAAGAAAATGTATTCAGGATCAGTGAGCCATGTGTATAAGAAGGAAAAAAGCGGATGTATTGCCCGTATCAACCACCTATTTATTGTTTGCATAATGTATAACCATCTCTAGAAAACTGAATGTTGAGGTTTTAGTCATTGTTAGAAGAAAAATTCAAACATGTATTTTTTTTTTGTGGTAACTCAGAATAATTACATGGTTAGAGATGGCAAAAGTATTGTCAAAGTGATAACATTTGCTGGCAAACTAAAAACATTACAAATGCAAATGTTCACAATATTGTGTTCCTGCTTTGGTCATATCATAATAATATTATTAATAATATAGAATTCATTCCTTGCTTTGTAAATCCTGTTTCAGCAATAAACTAATTATGTACGTGATCATTGCAATTTAGTAGGGACTGTAAGTGGAGAACTGTAAGTGGAGCCTAGAGTTTCCCTAATCCACAGCTATATGTATGAACTATTTCTCTTAAAGTACAATTAAACCTTCAATTTTTTTTGCATATATCTACTGCTAGCAAGCAGTAGATATATGCAAAAACATTTAAAAAAATACAAAAGTTACCAAAAAGGCAATTACTTACTTGTGTCTCCACCGCTCACTCCCATCCGAAGATTCTCGAGTGGCCGTCAAGTATCATGGGGCGGGCGCACACGCAGTTCAGATCTTTGGCCGGGAGAAGTGACGAGGGAGCATGGAGCCAGAAGCTGGGCAGTGTGTAATGACTCGCTGACAAGCTTCCTGATACTGGAAGTATCGGGTAAGACATCGGAGCATTTGGGAGAGTACGCGTACTCTGGGCGAGTACGAATACTCTGCATCGGCACCGATACTAGTATCGGTATCGGTGCATTCCTATTTTATACAGATGCTCAATGCTTGCCATTCATTCCTACATACTTGTTAAAGCTTTAGATATACTAATTGAACTATTCCATGTATTTCTTCCATTTTTTTGTTCATCCATATCCTAGTTAATCCAGCGTTATCCTGCTGTGATCCACTAATTTGCTGCCACAGCCTAGATCAAGGGTGGGCAACTCCAGCTGTTGTGGAACTACAAGTCCCATGAGGCATTGCAAATGTTGCCAGTTACAGGCATGACTCCCAGAGGCATGTTGGGATTTCTAGTTAAAACACAGCTGGAGTTACCCATCCCTGGCCTAGATCCTGCGCCAACATCGTCCTCAGAAGACTGCTGTCTATTCCACATTCTACAGCTTGCCCCAGATGACGTGTGGCCAGGTCTGCCCCCTGACCGCTGTGAGTCCCTGCTCCTGGAGCCTTCTTGGATACTTGAAGTCCATATGTCAGGAGGCTGCAGGAGGAGGACATGTCATTCTCGCCTAGGTGCATGTTTCTGTGTTATCTCACAGGTTCCCTCCAACATAACACAGAAAGATCCATGACCAGTTAGAATGAGATATTACTTTTCACCAAGGGTGGTCTTGAGTTATATGCCTCTCATGCCACACCTACCACAATATTTTTCACATTCCGGTTATTATTCCTGTTTCTGGGTTCTTTGTTCAACAATTCCTGATCAACTTGTACATTTTTGTGCAGTATATAGTATTGGAAGAGCAATGTGTTATGTTTTATGGTAATATGGTTATAGAGGAGAGAAAGGTGATAAAGAAAATGATAAAGAGGCAGGCTCCTGGAATATTGACCATTAACACCACAACCCAGTGACCTCCTTTTTCACAAATGTAGACCTAATGATCCTGAAATGGTTATATATTATACATATTGATATTCTAGTAATGGAGATCATGTTAGATGAATAGTACATTACTGATACATCTTAAACAATCTTTAAAGTACTTGAGAATGACTAGCGACAGTATTAGGATTTCCATCATATTTAACATTGTGCTGTTTCAAATGGAAGATTCTAAGTACTTGTTTTCCCACATGTCTGTGAGGCTGATAGTGGTAAACGAGCATGTAATCATCATAGCATTTGCTGGTCTTTCAGATATGGCAGATAACGCATCTCCACTCTCGAAGAAGCCATATGGGAGAAGATGGTGATGATGGAGAATCACATCTTGGAAGGCTTAGATGTGTGACTTGATGTTACTGTAGTAATTCTGTTCAAACAAGTAGAACAACCACAAGAATGTCATCTTACCAAGGGGGTGTGGTGCGGAGCATCCGACCTTTTAGGTCCAGTGAACAGTACCTGTATGCCATGAAAGAGGACTTAGCTGAGTGGCTAATGGATCTTTACAACTTGGAAATACATGTAGATAACTTCTTTGAAGTCCTGGAAAATGGTTCTGTCATTTGTTACCACGCCAATAACGTGACAGAGGTCGCTCGTGACTTTGCTGTGGAATACCCTGACTTAGCAAAGAAACTTCGGCTTCCAAAAATGGGAGTAACATTCAATGCAATGGCCCAACCTGGAACCTTCCTGGCAAGGGACAATGTATCCAACTTCATCCAATGGTCCAGGAAGGAGATGGACATAAAAGGTAAAAAAGTACAGGTTGTGCAACCACATCCAAGTGTTCTTAAGTGAGCTTCCATAGGCATCAATTATTTTATCTACAGGCTAAACTAACTTGCAAAATGCAAAGCTATGTCTTGTTTTTGAAAGAGTAGTAAATATAAGGTTACCTTACATAAAGTATCACCTAAACATTTTTTTCCCAAGGGGAAATTGGGCTGATGGAGTCTCTAGATCTTAATCCTGAGAACTCACTTTCATTTTGGCCTTAAATCCCTGTGACCAAATTGAAAAGATCAGTCTGATCAGTGCTGTTTTCACAATGTGACTGGGGCAGCTGTCTAGTTTATTGGGCTGAATCATTTTGGATCCACAACAATTTAGGGACAAATTAACTGTTGCATTTTTTTCACGCCAATTTGGTTTCTGTAGAAGTAAATAGTTGATTTTAATACTTTGCATGCTTCATCAGAGGAAAGGTGCTAATTTAAGACATTTAATGGGAAGGGAAATTAGGGTAAGGTTCTCAGCAACCAACGAGGTAGCACTAACAGAGTCAGCTTCAAGGTTTTCTGTTATCACACCCTTCTGTGTAAATGTGGTGCTACAAGAAGTGTGCTGGGTTTATTGAAAGCATAGATTTCCCAGTTTCCTTTCCCTTAAAATCTTTTATATTCAATTATACAGTTGTGACTTTTATTATTTGTTTTAGAATATTCAGGTGTCTACAATTATTTTTTTAGTAGTGTAGGAGAAGACTTGAACCCCTGTTGCAGATTTTATTGACTGTGTCCCTGTTGCAGATTTTCCCTCACTTTCTGTCTGGTCAAAATGTTGTCACCATGACAGTAATTAAGCCCCCAATAGCAGTGTAAACCAAAACTTTAGTCAAAATTTAAAATTAGGCCTTAAAATGTGTATAGGGACAGCCAACCTGCTTGAGCCAGTACAGGTATTCCCAAACACGCTTGCTGTAGATTCTTCACTTTCTTATCTCATACAGGGAGTCTGAATAAGAGCTCAGTAACATTAGTATATTGCAGTAACGCTAGGTAAAACATAACATTTTAATGAGTTACCATGAGTTATGCACTGTAGGTCCCCCAATACAGAACACACAGCAACACCATTGTATTGTAGCACACCACAATGCATAGAAACGAACCATCAAAATGAATGGGCTGGTTGAAACAGCACACATTAACTACACATTTGATAGTGCAACACTCTGGTGTATAGCGTCCAAAAAGAGTCAGTAATAAGGAGTTTCTCACAGCCACCCATCAGATTCATACCTGTATTGGATATTGGTGGTACAGAGAGTTAATTACTCAGACTTAAGAAAGAAAACCCTACCATGGGTCTGCATAAAGGAAAGCACTGAAATTTTGCTGTTATTATTTCTTACTTTGTTCCTGAACAATTGGGAGTTTTGGGTGTTCCCACCCACCTTTTCATGTTCCAGCACCTTCTGTTGCATTCTCCAGTACACACTGAACAAATATATATACAACCCTGTTTCCAAAAAAGTTGTGCAAAATCTACATAAAAACAGAATGCAATGATTTACAAATCTCATAAACCCACATTTTATTCACAATAGAAAACATATCCAATGTTTAAACTGATTTTTTAAAGAACAAAATAAGGTAATTTTGAAATTGATGACAGCAATAGGTCTCAAAAAGGTTACTTAGCAGCAGGTCAGTAACATGATTGGGTATAAAAAGAGCATCTTAGAGAATCAGTTTCTCAGAAGTAAGGATGGGCAGAGGTTCACCAATCTGTGAAAAGCTGCATCTAAAAATGTCGAACAATTTCAGAATAATGTTCCTCAACATAAAATTGCAAAGACTTTAAATATATCATCCTCTAAAGTACATAATGTCATCAAAAGATTCAGAGAATCTGGAGAAATCTCTGTGCGCAAGGGAAAAGACCAAAACTCAATATTGGATGTCCGTGCTCTTTGGGCCCTCAGACGCCACTGCATTAAAAACAGGCATGATTCTGTGATGGACATCACTGCATGGGCTTAGGAATACTTCCAAAAATCATTGTCTGTGAACACAATTCACCGTGCCATCCAAACATGCAAGTTAAAGCTCTATCTTGCAAAGAAGCCATGTCTGAACATGATCCATAAACTCCGCCATTTTCTCTGGGCTAAAGCTCATTGAAAATCATTTGTGGCAAAGTGGAAAACTGTTGTTTGGTCAGACAAATCGGAACTTGACATTCTTTTTGGCAACCATGGGCTCATCGTCCTCCTCTGCACTAAAGAGGAGAGGGACTTTCCGGATTGTTATTAGCGCTCAGTTCAAAATCCTGTTTCTCTTATGGTATGGGATGCATTAGTGAGTATGGAATGGGCAGTTGCACAACTGGAAAGGCACCATCAATGCTGAAAGATATATCTAGGTTTTAGAGTAGCATATGCTCCCATCCAGACAATGTCTTTTTCAGGAAAGACCTTGAATACTTCAGCAGGACAATGATAAACTGCATGCTGAATCTATGAAAGCAGCATGGCTTCATAGTAGAAGAGTCCGGGTGCTTACCTGGCCTGCCTGCAGTCCGGACCTTTTACCAATTGGAAATATTTGACGCATCTTGAAATGAAAAATATGGCAAAGAAGACCCAGAACTGTTAAGTAGTTAGAATCCTATATCAGGCAAGAATGGGACAATTTCATCTCCCAAAACTCCAGCAACTGGTCCCCTCAGTTCCCAGATGTTTATAGAGTATGTTTAAAAAAAGAGGTGCTACACCATGGTAAACGTGGCCCTGTCCAAACTTTTTTAAGACGTGTTGTTGCCATCAATTTCAAAATTACCTTATTGCTTTCTTAAAATGGCACATTTTCTCAATTTAAACATTTGATATGTTTTGTGTTTTCTATTGCGAATAAAATTTGGGTGTATGAGATTTGCAAAATATTGCATTCTGTTTTTATGTAGATTTTACACAACTGATTGAAAGGCTGATGTTAGTGCATGGGCAGCTGGATCTAAACGGATGTGCGTAGGGAAGGGTTAAAACCTCTAACAGATTATTTTTGGTAGTTTGTGTCCCACTGTGAAGATTTTTCTTAACTTCCTGTGCTGGAGGCGCAACAGGAAATTAAAGCAAATTTTAGCAAAGTGAGAGGGTCACCACTCTAACAGCTGACACCAAATGGAAGATTTACCTTGCTCAAACACAAATAGAGGGATGAGTCTGCTCAGCGAGGACAAAGCCAGCAGTAAAAATCTGACAGGGGTTCTAACTCTTCCCTACACTAAACAAAACTGAAAAAGTTTGCCTATACATACTGTACACTTTCAGTTTCAATACTGAAGGAGTAATAATTGCAATATACAAAATGATTTAGTTTGATCGTAATGAAGTATGTTGTTGCTGTTGTGCGATGGTTGATGGTACTGCATGTAGATATCTACGTTGGCTTACATCTTAAATGACACTTTTGCTTTGCTTTAGAAGTGCTGATGTTTGAGACAGAGGATCTAGTTCTAAGGAAAAATGAGAAAAACTTCATCCTGTGCCTGCTAGAACTGGCCCGACGGGCTTCACGCTTCGGTATGAGTGCCCCTATGCTCATTCAAATGGAGGAGCAGATAGAAGAGGAGATCCGGGAGGAACTAGAACTTCCTCCAGTTGAAATCCCGCTCCCTAAACCCCAAACCCAAAGAAAACTGTGTGACTTTAAGAATCTGGACCAAATGGTAAGCCAAATAAGAAGAACATCCACAACCAATAAACTGCATTTAAATAGTATATATATATCATGGCTGAGTTGTTCATAAGCACGGTTCTTAAAAGCTGAAATACATACGAAATTTGCCTTCTGACATCCACCATTTATCGTCACCAAATTGGAGCTGGCATGTGGTTTTGACCTGGTATTTATGCAGTTTGTGTAACTTTAGCACAGAGATCAGTGATCTGTTATCAATAATTTTGGATCAATGGGTGGGCTGCAGCGTGTAGGACTGCTTCTTGATATTTGTGCTTTAAAAGTAGTAGGTCTGTGTTTTTTAAATGCCTATTTATATAAAAGAGATAGGTCTATATAAAATGGTCTTTAATTATCCACTCAGTAAAGATATAAAAAAGTAGAGTGTCTTATATCTGAAAAGTAGCTTCACTGTGGCAATTTCAGTCCCTTAATTCACCCTAACAACACTCTGCAACTTTAATACTGATAGTATCTTATTTGCATTCCAGAAGATGTGTGGCAGTAAACAACTTTGTTCTTAGACTTTCTTTCAAGCAGCCAGTGCATGGTGTACTGATTGTAGTTACCAAGGCTATGATCCTACACAATGAATGTTCCAACTAGCCAACAGCTTGTCAACTGATGATGTCACATGTGTAAGAATTTGAGTATCTCTTCATGTCACAACTTCAGTAAATACTAAATGCCTTTGGTAATAACCAGTGGTGGACTGCAGGTGGCAGAGGATGTAAACTGGTGTGTTAGGGTGGCTATACACTTGAAGAAAACCAGTCATGACCAAGGTAAAGAAGTTGCCTTTAATAACCACTCCTTCTGAAAAAGCTACATGTCTGGCTTTCATGCTCACCCAATGGCTTCAGTACTTTGACCTGTAACAAATATGCAAATTAATGGCTTACTCTGATGTTCTAATCTGCATGATTGTTTCAGCTCAGTGACTCAAAAAGTGCTACAGTCAGACACAACCAGGCTCCATGTATTTTTAGAATGACGTCAGCAATGGCAGTCCCTGAATTACTCTCACTACATGTTTCTTTATCAACTTGGAAACCTAACCTATTATGGGCACAAACATGGACTCTAACAGAGGCTGCAAACCACCCCTTAGTGCTCCTTTCCTGGTTCAGTTTAGAAAGATGTTTAATATCTTTTATTTAGTATGAATTAAAGAACCATCTCCTGCATGCAGTGTTTAACACTTTTTAATGTTTTTATTTGTAATTGGCTATTCTATTCACCTATACAGTATGTGCGTTATGCATATGTGCATTTTAATAAACTGTAATGCAATTCATCCTAAGTTGTGCAAAACCAGTATATGTTTTTGCAAAGGGTGAAGGGTGAGGAGTGTTTTCTGGGAACCTGCTTACAATATAAAGCATATTTTATATTATGAAAGATGCACCAGACTTAATCGTCTAACCAATTAAAGTGCAGAAGAATGTGAATTGGTTTGGGTTTATATAGTAAAGATTGTCACCAGCACACCAAAGGTTTTGAAGCAAGAAGTCCTTTAATGACAAATTGCCATTCAATACAAGCGCTTTCGGGGTCTCAGCAGTACCCCTTCATTGGGTCTATTCATAAATATCCTTAATTAGGCTAAATATATAGAGAAATTAACTTTAAAGAAGGACTCCGGGATCTTTTTTATTAACCCTTGCAGTTGGGCCACCCCTGCACTGCAAGGATTAAGTGCTTGTATGTGCCTAGCTGTAAAAATAGCAAAGATATACTCAGCCTAAGCTCCAAGCTGGTCTGCTGCCAATGCTCCACCTTGTCTCCTCCTAGGCTGCAGCATTGGCATCTTCCTCAGCATCCTTACATCTATGCACTGTGCACGAACATGATGATTAATAAAAACATTTCCTGGAGTTCTTCTTTAATTAAAGTAAAGTTAAAGGCTCCTGTATGACAGTCTAAACAAGCATTATAAAGTAAACGAAAAACTTTTTTTTACACTCCCCGACTGAGCCAAATCCTCCTTCTTCTGTGTCTCACATGCTTCCCCTCCCCGACACTGCAGCTCACAGTGGGAGGGTTTCAGCAACAGAAGCAGTGCTTTCGATCCAGAAAGCTGTGGGCAGGGCTAGGTGTGGCCAGGTGTTGACTGACAGGCTACAGGCTTGTGAACCAACAGTGACAATGCTGATAGTGATGCTCTCTGCAACATTTTTTAGCTCTTGCAGGCACAGCTTACATGAAAGTGGCTCTGAATTCTGGAACAGAGCAGCATTGTTACCCCAGGAAGCTAAATTAGGTGGACTTCAATGACAGGCTCAACAGAGGGGAGTTTACAGGGGACCAAGAGAAAACTCTAAGTGCAGCTACACTTAAAATCAAGTGCAGCAGCACATCATTTTTATATTCTACTTCAAATGAAATATATGTCTGCTACAATAATTATTTCTGCATTTAATACTCAAAGTTTACAATTTGATAATGGAGGATCATCATATCTGTTTGTTATGCACCAAGATAACAAGATAGTTATTTGAAGAATTAGTGTCCATGTTTTTCTCATAACACATTGACAGTAAACAGATATATTAAAAGCTGGTGAAAAGACATGACATTTAGTTATTATACCCACGTGTAAATCCATCCCCTTCATTTTCACCAGGTGCAGCATTTGGTGAGCAGGTGCACTTGTCCTATGCAGTTCTCCATGATCAAAGTCTCAGAAGGAAAATACAAAGTGGGGGAATCAAACACTCTCATTTTTGTTAGGGTAAGTATAAAATGTACCAAAGTATATTCTAGGTACTATTGCAGGAATATATGTTTAACTTTAACCAGAGACCTTAGATTTTGTGTTCAGAAAAGGAAAGTAGATTTACTATCTTATTAAAGATCAACTCAGAAGGTTTGGCCCTGGAAGTTAAAAAAAAAGAGCAGCTCAGGCTGCAATACTTACATTTAATCTGGAGTTGTCCCCCACAGTACCACTACTCCACTACAAGGGGCAAACGGCAGCGAGTGAGATGTTGGATCAGCTGAGTCAAAGGCCGAAGACAGCCGATGTTCGGCTGACTTAAGCCACTGTACGGCTGAAATCAGCAGTACAAGCCAGAAGTGAATAGTCGAACACCGCTCAGCTCACTTCACTTCGGCTGGGTTATACACTCAGCTGCCTTCAACAGCTTTGTGAATAACCCTGTATATTTAAAGTGCAATTGAACTTTCAGTTTAAATTAGCTTGATACATTCCAGGTACATCAAAACAAAAGGTGTGCAAAGTCTTATAGTTTGTTCCCTTTAAAAACCAACCACAGTGGGGAAGTAGTGATCTTGTTGCAGAGGTCCAAAATATCCCTTGCTGAATCAGTACCAGAGCTCTAAAATCAGCAGGAAGCATGAGCTTTTCTGATTGCAGAGCTATACGTCTGACTTAGTAGGGGACGTGTTTGAGCTCTGCAATGAGATCATTGCTTCCACACTAAGGGGTCTATTCACAGAGCAGCCGAAGGATCCAGCTCCGGCCCCAGGACCCCTTCGGTTCAGTAGAACCGAAGGGCACTCCTGGCCGCCCAGGAGAGAAACCCGTTTTTTTCCCCTCTTCTTTATTCTAACACGGAGCCGTGTCAGAATAGAAAAAAATAAAAAAAAATTTGCCCATAGGAATGCATTTCTAGATTCCTATTGGCTATTTCAATTTGCAATAGCCAATAGTAAACTAGCATTGCACCCACCCTCTGCTGCAGTTCTCCATCAGGCAAAAATGTATTTTATTTTTTTTCTATTCTGACACGGCTTCTCTCCTGGGCGGCCGGGAGCGGGAGACTCCCAGAGCGCCCGGGAGAGTTTTTTCTTCTTCTTTTTTTCTGACGGCAGCAGAAGCGCCGGCCAATAGAAAACTGTTGGGCAGAGCTAGCTGTCACTGCTAGCTCCGCGCAAACTATTTTTCTGTTCTGTTCGGTCCCTCTGAAGGACCGAGCAGAACAGCCGAGCCGAATGCCGTTCAGCAGCATTTGGCTATCCACTCACTGCTGTTCGGCATCTATAAGAATAGGCCGAACAGCAGCGAGTAGCCTGCCGGAGGTTCGGCTCAGCCGATCCAGATGCTGGCTGGGTCGAACTCCTTCTGCACTTCGGGTCGGCCGAACATGCTGAATATACGATATACGGCTGAAATCAGCCGTACAAGCCTGAAGTGAATAGCCGAAAACATTGTTCGGCTCACTTCACTTGGGGTCGGTTGTTCACTCGGCTGCCCTCGGCAGCTTAGTGAATAGACCCCTAGTTGTAAGGGTCCCACTCTACCACTGCTGTCAGGGGACTGGCTTTTCTACTCAGGCTGTGGCTGCTTCAGAAGGAAAACAAATTGTAAGACATTAAACACCTTTTGTTTTGATGCACCTGGAATGTGTTTAGCTTAATATAAAAGGTTCAATTGTGTTCCAACTGTAGTTTTACATGAGCATACATCATTGGAATTTATCAAAAATGGGAGCAGACAAAATCTGGAGCAGCTGTATATGGCAACCAATCAGCTTCTATCTTTCATTCTTAAAGCTTAACTGAACAAACTGAAGAGAGAAACTGATTGGTAGTAATGGGCAACTGCTCCAGATTCTGTCTGTTCCAGTTGTGATAAATTCCCTACAAAGTTTTTAAGGAATCTGTAATTCTGTTGCCAACTGGGACAAATACTATTCTCAGCCAAATTTTAAATTCCACATGGACCTGAAACCTTTCTCATTGTTACATTAATAGACCTATTGTATTAGGTTAGGGTTCTTGCTCTGTTAGTTGACAATCAGGGTGCGAAAGCAATCGTTTGCCTGTCTACTGTATTCTAAAAAAATAACTTGCATATTATCTTAATTTTTCTGAGTAAGAAGGTTTCTGTTTTACAGATTCTTCGTAACCATGTAATGGTCAGAGTAGGTGGTGGCTGGGACACACTGGAGCATTATTTGGACAAGCACGACCCCTGCCGCTGTACTTCTCTCTGTATGTAATACTAAACACAGCAATATAATAGGCTTAATTCATAAAGCTTTAACAGAACTATAAGGATGTTTTTTAGTCACGTGTCAGCAATTTTCAAATCAACTTGACAGATTATAACTTTCAATTTTTTTAAATATAAGGATCCTTATCCTGGTGCGTTAGCTGTGAATTGAGCCTACTGTCATTTCTATTTGATAAAGTAATAGCAATCTATCTTGTAGACTATCTGACTGCCTCCTCTTTTACATTTCTAATGTTAAAATTCTGTTGTGAAACTGTTGAGCAATAACTCCAATAATACCTTTGACTGATGGGTTTTCAAAGCAGAAAATCTCAAATAGCGCAAGGGAGCTGGTATGAATATTCACAGCAAACACTGCATTAACTAAAACATAATTGAACAAACCATTTTAAAATTTGCAGAAGACAAGTGACTTTAAAAACCATGGCAACTTGGAATGGTGACTTGCAAAGTGGAATAAATCATAACGGACAACTGATTTTTTGTTTCCTTCGATCAAATTGATGTATTGTTAGTTTTTGATTAGTCAAGATGGCACACTTTGCACTACCTTAAGGAGAAGCTATCAGGATAGAAATATGGGAGCAGCCATTGCTCCCATATTTTTGAAGGTGCAGCCTCTGGAGGAGGCATTCTTCTCACTGACCACCCATGTAAAGGGGCACTTCTCCCACTGAACACCATGTTAGGGGGTCCTTCCCCAACTGACCACCAATATAGGGGGACTCTTCTTCCACTTACCACCAATGTAGGATGGTCCTTTTACCACCAATAAAAGAGGGTTCTTCTCTCACTGACCACCAATGTAATTGGGCACTTCTTCATTGACCACTAATGTGAGGGAACACTACAATTTTCCCTTTTCTGGGCATTATCATCATTTGATTAATTTCATTTTAATCACTGAAAAAATGTTGTTATATAGAACAGCCCTGTGTGTCCTCGCTGCTCTGCAGTAACGTTAATAGAGTTCGAACATTCCAAATTAACTTAAAAAAATAACTCAAATCAACCACCATATCTAAGAACTTGTAAGAGGCAAATATTTAAAATGTTTGATTTTGGGCTTGGGCTTGGCTTTAAAGGTTAATTCACAAAATGTGAGAAAATGAACTTGCCCACACAAATCTGCCATCTCTTTCACCCCCACTGGTCATGCCTTTGTGGAAACACCATTCTCCTCCACGCCAGCCGCTGTATGTTTCATACACCATACACCACTCTGCAGCCCTGCACTATGCATTTAGAATAACAATCACAAATGGGAAGCACTCATTGGTCAGCATGGTAACCTGACCATGCTGACAAATGGGAATCATTTCTTCCTAACACAGAGGATCATTACAGAGGATCAGGTAAAAAAATAAGCAGCTTAAAGGTGCCCATGATGAGGAAATAATCTCCAGCATTTCTATACCAATTAAAAAAAAGTGTGGACCCCCCCAGTGAGATTTAGGAACAATATACTGTATATCCACTTTTATATCGAGTGGCCTAGAAGGCAAATACATTTCAAGGGTTGCATTATACATGAGGATCTCAGGAAATAATTTCTATTGTCCTCTACACAATGTGAAAACTTGGCACACACTACAAATACACATCACTGCAAGATGTATCCATCACTGTGGATGCTAGAGATGCTGCTAAAGTGTCAGGTGGCCATGCCTGGCTAGCTTTACAGTATTAAAACCAATTACGTGTCTTTTCAACATAAGTCTCTTAGGGTGATAAATTGCTTTTCTATGTATCTGCTTGTAAAACATTTGAGAAAGGTTCTAGAAATATTTATTACATCCTGTCCAGTTTTTTTTACTGCCTTGTTTGTATTACCTTCAGCAAGGACTGCCTTTTCACTAGTTTTAAATGTATGCAAGTAATCTTATAAAATAAATGAGTCCTGCCTCACCCATATCTACACATGCCATATATAAGTAGTATAATATACAATTTAAATTCTGATAGGCAGCTGCAATGTGATGAAACTCATTGTGCATCCTGGCAACAAAGAAGCCACTTTTCTACTGCTGGCAATATATTCAAGAGAAGCATGAATCTGTTATACAGGCCTAGCAATAACCTGTCAAAGTATGCGCAAATCAATTACCTGAGCTAGGTCGTTGTTTAGCCGTGGTTATGACATTCTGACAGGTTGCCTGAGTGAACCCATCTAACTGCTTTCTAGTATTAGTCATTTGAAATACCTAGTTTTATATGCAAACCATCACTGTCACTCATGTCTCACTTGGAAGTCTGCCAGCCAGTTGACTCTATTCTGCCGGGAAAGGTATGAGAGACAATCACATCTCTGCATGGTCCATTACCTTCTTACTATTATGTCACTTGTCCCTGATATTTGCGACATTGCGTCTCAGCTTTCTATTCTTGGATTCTTGTGAGACATTAACTACCTCCTCACCACACAGGTTTATAGAAATTTGACACGCAACTAGTAAAATGGGATATGTAGGTTTTTGTCTCACTGGAAACAGAATTTGCTTTCTGTTCTCAAGATAATATTTGCAAAGCATTGTGGAGGTGGCACATTTTGAGCTGGATTTGGTTTTATAGATCTTTACAGAATAATGACATAATAAATGTTTAAACTCTTCTTTCTACAGCTCATAAACAAGCTTCAGCATCAGCCAGCAATCGGAAGCCAGCATACCCAGTTCATGAAATAACAGCACGTTTAACACCAAGAGCTGACAATTCCAACAAAACTCAAACCACGTTAATAGTAAGCCGTTCCCAGAGTCCACCGCCTCCGGTAGACTGGAACACTTATACATCAGGCAGTGGCAGAACCCATTTATCCTCCACCTCTGCTGAAAGTGTTGACAAGACGTCAGGGTTTAGAACGCCTTATGTACACAGTGACCTCAAGAGGAGTTTTGCATTAAGGTACATGCAGCCTATGTTTATGATGTTAGGCTGAACATAATAATGCAGTATGCAGAAGTAGTATCTGGGTTATGATTTGAATAATCAAGGATTGTACAGTCTGGTGTCCATATTTTCGCTCACCTTGGTGCTAATTTAACAGTAGTAGATCTAAAATCTTGGGCAACAGCAGTCCACACTAAGGGCCGGTTGCAGTTTCAGTGTAGTTCCTTTATTTGTGTTGGGTTTTCGAATTGTTTTAGGTGTTACCATTGCATTCTATGTAAAGTGCATTTTAATGAAAGTTGCAGCAAGCAAGATTTATTTACACCGTACCAAAAACACACTGGTGTGAATGCGTCTCAAAGATAGGGCCCATTCACACCTGTCAGCTCTGGTGCGTGGCATAATTGCCTATGCATTATAGCACGTTTTAATATGCATCGCAGTAGGCAGCCCATTTGTTTTGAATGGGCTGCCAACACACAGCAGACTGTAAAACATACCTGTACTTTTTTTTCCCCCTAATGAAAGGTGTGCTGCAATGCATGTGCATTGGGGTGTCATTCAAAATAAATGGCAGTGCAGTGCACTAACGCACATAGGGTGCATTACAACGCACACATTACTGCACATCAATAGTGTTAATCCAAAAGGAAACTTTTATTTCCATTTTATTGGTCAAACCTGGGTTGATATAATTTTTGAAAACTAGTAATAGTCTATGGAGGGATTCATCAAAACTGGAGCAGACAGAATCTTGAGCAGTTGCCCATGGCAACCAATCAGCTTCTCTCTTCAGTTTGTTCAGTTAAGATTTGAAAATGAAACAGAGAATCTGATTGCTGTGCACAGCTGCTCCCGATTTTGTCTGTTCCAGTTTTGATAAATTCCTCTCTATGTGTTTAAAAAAAAAAAAAAAAGAAATCAAATGGTAATAAAAGCACACTTGTTACATAGTAGACTTTTGATTCAGAATGCCTGTTGTATTAGCCAAACATAGTACAGGGATTAAAACTGCATCCTAAATGTATGTGCCAAGGATAAGTGTTCCTACATGAATGAACAGATGTTTTCATGTTTTAACCTTTTGGACCCCTTTATTTATCTATGTTTAGAAACCATGTTGTTTTACAGCATCTCTCTGTTTACTTTTGGTTTTGCCAGGGGACATGAACGACCTGTAACTCCTTCAAGGAGACAACTGTTCACAGAAGATGGCTATTCTGGTCAACAGTTTCCGCATTCCCAGCATTTTCATAACAGTCTTCTCCTATCTACATCTTCCACTGGGTCCCAACTGACTGGAAGCGAAGATGAAAACTCACAGTCTTCAGATGTCTTCTATGAGAACCACAGAGGGAGACAAATGATAAAGAGCCCTGTTTCCGGACTTAAAGAAAAAAGAATAAACCACAGTCAGATGCACGTTACAAATGTTAGAGCACAGTCAGCAACAGGAAATGGTAGTATTCAGCAGGAATCAAGACCTAAAACACCAACGCGTTTTTTACGACCACCAAGTCCCTCCAAACACTTCCTCCACAACCAGCAAAATAGAATATCAGAATACCAACACAAGGTCAGTACTGATGTTACTGCAAGACCTTCATCTCCCATTAAACAAATTGCTACACGTTCCTCTTCTCCTTCAAAACATCTTAATACTCGACCTTCTTCTCCAACTAAGCAACTCAATACTCATTCTTCTTCACCACCTAAACAGCATTATGCACGTTCACTTTCTCCAACTAAGCAGCTTAGTCAGCCAATCAAGCAAGAACTGAGTGGTGCCAAAACAGTGCCTATTTATAATAGGCCATCTACACCAAGCAGATATTACCAAGGTGAACCTGAAAACAGAGATAGAAGCAAATCTGTGGGAAGCAATTTTAACATGTCTCATTATAAACTAACAGCAACAAGAAGTGGTCAGACTTACAGTGAACAAAGCAAACCTATACATACTGGCAGGTCTACTCCAACAGTGCACCTTAACAAAAATGGTCTAACACAGGACAAGGTCCCCAACTATAGTATGAAAACGCAGAACAGCCATACCAGTGCTTTGGAAGCTTCAATCATGTCAGATAATATTGAACGAGGTTACAGGTACACACCAAAACCCATTGGCCCAGACCAAGAGCAAGAACTGTATCAGAGTCTGGAAGATGAAATCCAATCAAACATCAAGGCCTTAGAGGAAGATTCAGATGAAAATAGCAACCAAGAAAACAAATGCAAAAACTTTACATCTAGCATTGCAAGTGATGTTGCTGTTCATGATTTTGACATGAAAAGAACTTCAGTATCTTCAGTCTCAATGAGGAGAACTAGATTAAAGACACCTGATGGGGAAGTAGAAATACCCAGAAGTGGAGTGTATATAAATACCAAATGGCAGCCTGCAAGTGCAAGTTATGATGATGTTATCACAGAACTCTCTCAAGGACAGTTGAAACTAAATAGGGTTGATGTGGAAAACTGGATTTCCAAAATACCTCCAAAAGTTGTAGTACCTACGGAAACAGATGTACCTGTTGAGCATTCAGTATGTCAAGAGAAAAGTAAGCCTGCATTATCAGTACAGAAAACAGATACAACCAAGCTGTCTTCTGTAGAGAACAAAGAAAAGAAAGTCAATCAATTGCCGTCTCAAAGAGCAAGACAACTGGCAATGGAAGCCAAGAAGAAGAGTTTAGAGGCTGCAGCTGATAACATGGATTCATCCGCCAAATGTCCTGAAGAAGAAACAACCCCAGAAGTATCAAAGTTGCCACAATCATCCAAGCCAAAACGATCACTGAAAAAGCCAGAAAGGGTGCCATCAATATACAAACTGAAGCTACGCCCCAAAATCCGTCCCCGGCGAGATAACAGACCAGAAAAAAAGCCATCCAAAATCCCAACCCCTGTTTCTTATCAAAAAACAAAAAACAAATCCAAAAAGCCACAAAACAGCACTGTAAATCCTTCTAGTGTTAGGAGTCGAAGTGAATCTCACAGCACAGCTATTAGTACAGGAGATCTGGATACTGATGAAGCAGTCTCAGAAATGTCTTTGTCACTGGAAGCTTCTGGTTCTCAGCTAAATCAAACATTCAATGAAAATAATGGAAGCAAAAGTGAAGAGGAGACATGGATTTAAGACACTGCTCCTAAGACTTCCTTATTTGTTGTGCAAAAATCAACAAAACTTCAACTCATCTTTTGCAAGAGTATAGATCAAGCCTTTAAGTCAGTATCAAGTAATCAGGAGTTAAATCTTAATGCATTCAAGTACCATATTAACAATATTGTCCCTTATTTGTGTATCACTCAGCTGTAGATCCTCATAAAATTTCTGAATTTGTGATGACACTGTCCCAGGGGCGTCCCGAGGCTGGGTGACACCCGGAGCGGTAACCGAGTGTCACCAAATTTGGTGTGAGCGCCCGACTTTTCAGAGGGGGGTGACACCAAAATGACTGTGAGTCACTTTGGTGTCACCCCTCCAATGGTGTCACCCGAGTGTGGGCCGCACCCCCTTTGTGACGCCACTGCACTGTCCTTCCATCTGGAGGGTGGCTACTTTTGTTTCCTATGGTCCCTGTGTGTGTTGTAAAGTAGCCACCGCTCCAAGTTCACTCCCATGATGGAGTACAATCTCAATACAAACTAGTAAACTAAACGTGAGATTGTAGTCTATCACAGGAACGAGCTTGGAGTGATGGCTACATTACAAATGTGAGGATTTACAGTTGAGTAATAAACAAATGAGCTACATTATTGTTAATAGTTAAGGTTAGTGAATGCATTTCTAAGATTTACCTCTTGAGTTTATTGTCACTTTAACACAATTGTTATTAAAATAAAAAAAGAATGACATTGTGTAAAAATTTCAAACTGCAAAAAAAACCCACTGATGGGTGTTAAAAAAATAATCATAATTGTTTCTGGATCTTTTAGCAGGAATCTGTTAGAAAAGCCTCTGATTGAACCATATATTCTCTGTCTCTCTATGCCTTACATAATCATTCTAAGCTATTGCTTTAAATGCTGTAGTTAAATAGGTTCTGTGCTAGACTGGGATGCAGAATGGAAGTCAGAGAAAGGGCGCTCCTATCAAAAGGTTCCTAAAACATTGCTTTGTGAGAGATTCCATTTTAAGAACGAGTGCAATTTTAGGAAATGGTCTGCCAGCTTGTGCTGAACTGCATAAACTACTATGTTGATAGGCTAGCAATTCCTTATTGTCATCCCAGGGCATGCACTGTTTACACACAGTTTAGCTGCGCAGACCATGCAATGGAAAGCTAGCATTTAGAAACACATCAGGTATAGTGTATTATTAGGTATATTGTTGAAATGGGAAGGGATATGGAGAATTTCAGAAAAATTGGAAAAATCTATAAAGTAAACATGAAATCAACTGATTAAAAATCATTAAAAAATTATCTGTGCTGGACCCTTAAAACACTGGGGTGTGTCAAACATTTATATAAACAGTTGTAATTATCAATTTGATGCTTTTTTCTAGAAGATTCCATGACACTTTTACTTATCATCCAAAGCCCTATTTTTCTGTCTGTAGCTGTTCTGTCCCCAGTGTTGTTGTTATCCACCTACTCCAGAGATCGTGCAAAGCCTGCAGCAATCTACTCAAACATAAAGGGGGTGATTTACTAACCTAAACACACGCACGCACCAGGTGCGTGTGATTTTCACACAGCAAAACGTACTTATCAACCAAAAAGTCTCTAAAAGCATATTTCCACTAATGCCATATATGGAAAAATCATGCACATGATGCATATATAATGCTGCTTCACAGTTTAGACAAAAATGGTTAGCTCATGCATTTACATTCCTGCATTCATCAATGCAAGCAACATAACATAGAGCTAATTTACACAACATAACCTTGCAATTCATGCA